TTTATAAGATTAATTAAATTATATTTTTAAAACACTGTTAAGTTTAAAGGAAAAGTTTTTCTTAGACCTGTTGCAGAGTGTATCGTTCCATAGTCTTTAAGAAGGATTTGATTGCAGCGGGAATAATAAGTGAATTTGCGTGTCACAAACGAATAGATTTGAAACATAGAATAGATTTAAAGACTTGATGCTTTCTGAATGTTTTTAACTATTACTGATTTTTATTCTCATATTCTTTCTCTTAAATAAAAACAAAAAGTTAGCAAGGCTACTTGTTGCAACAACCAATCTGTCAATTAAACAAAAATATCAGCGTATAGCTCAACGAACTTTGGCAGTTGAACCCTGTTGTCAGATCTCAAGATCGAACTCTTCCAAACTGGAGGGAAAATATACCAGTCAGCTGCTTCAAGTCAACGGCTTAATCTGCTCAGCAGTGCAGTGCTGACAGGTTGCTGCGTATTACAAAGATATTCTATGCGGCTTGGCTGATCCTATAATGTCTTATGTTGGGGTGTCTCAGTGTCCATCGTTTGCTATAATAAAATTCAAAATCTTCAGGGTCATTCTTTTTAACGACCTAACACAATTTTGATTCAGGCTCTAACTTTGAGATGAAAAATGTACACCACTTCAGTCAGTATACATTGTTGACTTTACTGACAGACCTGACAGATCTGTCATCCTGCAAAGTTAACGACTTGGACAAGTTTATAGACTTATCACGTTGGGTTATTTTTACTTGAAGATCTATTTCTTTGATTAAGCACCAAAAATCACCAAGTACAATTTATAGATTTTTTAGGCATGTGTTCCAGATCAGATCATAGTGGAATTTGAACCCACACCATATATGCCGTAATACCAGTACACACAGCATGATTAAAATTCATAAGGCAGCATCCTGTACTGTTTTGGAGTATAAGCGGTAGCAAGTGGGTTTTCACTTGCGATACAACACCAAGTGAAATCTGGTAATATGGTATGCAGGTGCCCACAGCTACAATCGTCCTAGGTATTGGATTGGCTCTGTAAGGGAGTGTAGTAGGAGTTGCTGAACGTAACAGCTAAAGTTACGCAGGAAGAGTGTTAGCATCTATGCTTTTAATTTAGATCTGCTTTTTTTTTAACTGGACCCTAAAGAAGAAAAGAGGTTTAGATAAGCATTTTTCTTCAACAAGGACAAAGCGTGATGTTAACAATGACTAATATTTTACATGCTTCCGTGTTCAAGTAAAAGTTTTGTTGATGGTTCTTTGATGGTTTTATATTTTGCATATTTTTAGTACCCATAATAGATGCTTCGTAGTTTCTGTAATAGTTTAGTGATACAACTCAAGGCGCTGTCCTTATCTATATTATATGGGCAAAAGTATTTATATGAACATTCCGGTTATTTGGTACCAACTTTCCTGAGAAGTAAAATGAATCACTACTTTTTATATTTTCATTATATTTTATATACATTAAAAGAATAATGTATGTATGCTGACATACTCTAGTAAGAATGTTAGTATATTTCAAGATCATCAAAAAATAAACTTATTAATTTATCTGTTAAAGAGTGCATGAACTGAATCATTAAATTTATCGATACTTTGTAAATTAGTTGATTCAATTTTGAATTTAGTTCTAACATTTTATTTTAACTTGAAGCTGTTTTCAGTAACTGACTAAGTTACTTAAATAACTATTTTGATGGTTTTAAATTTTTTCTAAATAATAATAAAACTTAACTAATTACCATATTTTCGCAATATTAAAATTATATCTCGTTTTTATATTTTCTATTCTCTTATATCTGAGTTCTTCAGTAATTCTCTATAAAATATAAAAGTATAAAGCAAGTAGCGTATCGTTTCACTACTTAATTTAATCTCATATTTCAACTATTTTTCATTGACTTCAAACAGCTGATATTGGCGGTATAAGCTATTTTCTGACCCACTCTTTGATTTTCTTATTGCCATTCAACATTTTTTATATACAATTTTTATTATCTATTATAGATATATAAATTATTTGTAATCAGTTATAAGTCGTCGTTGCGTCTGACTATGAGTCTTTATGCTTTTTGTTTGCTTTTATTCAAGTGACCTTTGAAAAAATCTATTATTCAACAATATTGAATTACGTCTTAACTTGACTAACATGTTTTTTTTTGTGTCTTATTGCCTCTACAAATTTATTTCATTTTAAGTTATTTTATTTTATTTTTATTTAATATTTCAAATGCGTTTGTGTATTATTTAAATTGGAAAAGAGCTTAAAGTGTTGTCATTAGGTCATAAATAGAATTGAATTATTAATATCAGGTTTTGTTTTTATCCATATATGAATACTTTCGTACCTTCAGATGCACGCTTAAAGCTGTCATCTCCAATCCGTGGGCGAGTTGATTTCTAAAGTGCTTACTGCTCACCTCAATAAGTTAGCGATTTGCAAGTCAAATTAAAATTTTGTTTAAAAATTATTAAATAGTTTTTATTGTATTTGAGAGAATCTTTTAGGAAATATAGTTTTTTATATAGAATAGTGCTGCATCGCTCAAGAAAGTGAAAATACTATCTTTCGAGCCATTCTCTCTGTAATGTGAGTATTGTGAATTTTGTTTAATTTTTTAATTAATATATGTGTGTGGTATGAAGTCATTGTTGGTGAAGTTAATAATATTTTATTCACCAGATATTTACTTTCATTTTGAATAAAATCAATCATGTTTACGAATTAAAATTTACTATTAGTGTAGGATTACATCAGGTTTTTGGCAACTATGTGTCACCATGTAATTATATATAATAACAAAATAATGAAAAAAGGTTATCAACTGGATTATGGAATCTTTTGGTATAAAAGGAAGTAAATTTAGTTCAAGTGAATTGGCTTCCAGATAAAGGAACACAACGATCATATAGATTTGTCTACCTACCTATGTGTTCATTCACATGCAATATGATGGGTTTCGGTTAGGTTGTACCAAAGATTAAAAGGGACCCACTTAGACCTATTGACCCATTGTGTTACCGTATAAGGGAAAAACTCAGAGGTTTTAAACCATCGTCAACCTTTGGTAAAGCTTAAAATGTTATTTAATGGAAGATGGTGCAGTTGACTAAGATCCAGTTGTCAGCAGGTCCATACACCATGGGTTTATATGTTAAGTATTAATTTTTTATACAAAACAAATAATAATGTTATTATCTACGATCTTATCAATAGAGTTTTACTAATGCAATATTTAGTTTTCTTCTCTCTAATCGATTAAAGCTTGAGAGCAATTTTTAGTTAGAAAAACATTTAAATTGTCAAGCAGTCATCGAATGTATATTTCATAAGAAAGGTGATTTATAAGCTAAAAATTGCTTTCATTGTTGCAGTTATTTTATGCACCTAACTTGGTGCCGTTCGTCTTTTACCTTTTTGGAGAATTTCTGAAGAAAGGAAAATTTTGTGAAAGTTGAAGCCTCTCAAAATACTTGTACTGACATCCTGAAAATTTAGTAAAGGATCTACCATATCGACGCATGTATGTCGGATGTACTCCATCTTATATGATCGTAAAAATTCGTAAAATTTTTATTTTCCTACAACTACAATATATTGCATCCCTTTTTCGATTGAAAATTATTTGTTATAAAAAAAATGGTATCTAACATATAAGTTTTATACTTAAAAAGTATTCGGAATTTGTAATTTAAGATATGAGTACATATAATATCAAAAAAGGTTTGTTCGTTCAATATGTAGAACTATTAACTTTCATATTAATTTTAGCGCCATCTAGCAATACTCTAAACCGAAAAGTGTAGATTAAGAGGCATAATAGTGCAATTGCAGACCACTGTGCCGTCGAAATTTAACGTAAGACCTTGTCTCTTAATCATTCTTGCTTGGTAGCTGCTTTATATGACGGCGCAGAATCTTGTTGAAAATTTATGAGTAGTTTATGAGTAATTTTTCTTTTAGCATAGTAAAACACAATATTCGACAATAGAAAGAACAGGTCCTTCTCTTTATAATTATAGGATTTTTTTTGAATATTGATGAATTCTTTCAGAACTTGACGATGAGAGACTCTCTATTATGAATATATTTTTTTAAAATAATTTCACAAAACCAATCGGTCTAGCTTTGTTGCTAGATTATGTTTTAGTTTCTCATTAAGGCGAGTGAAATTTTTTATATGCATACTTTATTATCTTTGGAGAATATATTTTATATATATGTTGAAATGGTGAAAGAATCACAATATCATATAGCTGCTATTTTGACTATTCAAACAATCGTTAAAATTATATTTTCTTTATTATTTATATACGATAAACAGAACTGAGTACATCTAGTTCCTATTGTAAAAACTAAGCTTGTAATCTAAATAATTTTTAAGATCACAGACAACGCTAAAAACCTTTTCGTCTTGAAAAGCGTTGTTAAATAATTCGGACATATACTTAAGCTATAAATTCTTTAAATGTAAATGCATACATCATACATAAAATAGTTTTTATAGAAATAATATCTTATATTAATAGTATACAGTATTATTAATAATTAATTAAAATCTTTAAAAATAATAACGCTACTATTATTCTTACTCTTATTCAGTTTCTAATATTGAAGTAACATTTAATACTTTCACAAAGTTTAGTAAGTACTTATGCTTCAGTTTCTCGCAAGAGTTTTCTTTCATAGTTTCATCTCTCATACCAAATCATAATGATTTACTTTTGCAAAGCTCATATTTTCAGTTATTTTGATTACAACACTTAAACTATAATAATAAATACATAATACACATAATATTAATTATACTATGTAGTATATTATTTTTATGTAGCAACAGTTATGATTTCGTTTACATAGAATATTAACCAAGCACACGCTTATAACTCCTAATCATAGCTTTTCATATGCGTTACAAAATATTAATTAGTTATTTAATTAAAAACTAAAAATATAAAAGCAAAATTTAATTAATTTTAATATCAACTATTTTACAGTTTCACCTTTACATGATTCACAAAGTCACAGAACTGCCAAAAATATCAACACAAATATACCAACTGCTGCACCGTCGTCAGCATCAGCATCAGCAACAACAACAGCAACTGCAAGCACTACAGTATCCAACGTTTCAACTTCAAATTCCACTTCAAAAGTTTTTATTAAAAAATCTGGTAGTAATTCATCTACGCAGAGTTCTAATCGTAAAGACAGTTTTGGTTCAAGGGACTCACTTAATGACATACTATCCGAAACTGGTTTGCAAAGTGGAAACGTTGCAGCGCAACGTAAATCTTTGGAAAATAAAAATTTAGATTTATCAAACGCACCCGATGGTAGCGGTAGCAATCGTTTGTTAGTGAAAAAATTCGAAACGAAAACAGTGCACTCTTCTAGTAGCAACATCACCACAAGCAGCACTGCCATGTCTACAAACATTTCCACAAGTGAACTTCGCAAGAGTATAGAAAATTTAGATGAGAAATTAAAGACTCCACCACCTGTACTTACCAAGAAACCAACAATACCAACTAAGAAATCCACAACAGTGACAAGTGTTGCTGGTAAGTTATTTTAAAATATTTACACCAAATCCAGATCCAAACCCAAATAATCAAAAATATATTTCTCTATTTAAAGGCAACCTTTTATCTGGACTCAAACAAAAAGTTAAAAATGTTGAAAATAAACTAACCACATCAGCCTCGCATGATTACGCAGACGGCATAGCTAGCAGCAGAATGCAGAGTGGTAGTAGTGGTTTACCTGATCTTGCACCCAGCGGTAATGTTGTGATGCGACGTGCAGCAACTGTTGATGCAGATACAGATTTCGATCGCGTTGAACGCGCTTCTATACTAACAGATATGCGTGCAGGACGCGTAAAGGCACCAAAACGACGACCACCATCAGCCGCTATGAATATAGTGGGTGAAAGTAATAACAATTCAGTGTATGTCAATGGTAGCGGTGGTTCTAGTGGCACAGAACAACACTCCACTGATGATGGTAAACCACAATCGTCAGATGATAATTCATTAAGTGAAGAACAACAACTAATCAAACCAAAACCACGTGAATGGGAGAAGAAAAAAGCACCATGGATGGCAGAATTAAAGGCATCACAAGTTAAAAAGAAAACATCACCAAATATAGAACCACGCACTATCGGTACTGAAAGTACTAATGCAACTGGTAGCACAGTGGCTGAACGTACATCAAAACTATTGGGTGATGATACAAAAATCAGTAATAGTTCTAGTGCAAGTAGTTCGAGTATAAGTTCGAGTACTACAACTAAAGTGCAATCATCTTCTGTAACATCAAGCGTAATGCAACAATCAATGACTGTTGAAAGTAGTCAACAAATGCATAAGAAAGAATTAAATACTACAACAACAATGGATGCAATGAGCAAAAGTATGAGCAATAAATTAGCTGCGGAAATTGCAACAACAACTACAGCAACAACAAATGATGATGTACGTACACGTCCCAATAGTCTATCGATACGTAATCGTAGTATATCACCTTCAGTAAATAGTACACGATCAAGTGCTTCGAAGAGTTCAGCCTCACCAGCAACTGTAAATATGGCTGATGGTAATAGTGAAGCGCCCAATAATAGTAATTCTATAATATCTGCTGTCAGTTCTACAGCGGCTAAAACAACGATTGTCAATAATCATCATGCGCATACAAATAATAACGCCGCCTCCACAAGCACAACGACAGTACATGAGAATAATGTGGCCACTGTAAGTGGAAAGTCAAGTCACGATAGTGCACGTGTGCAAGAGCTTGAAAAACGCGTTGATAAATTGGAAACCATAGTAAATTCACAGCAACGCACTATTGACGAACTCATACGTACACTCCGTGAAGAAACCGATCGTGTGAAGGTGCTGCGTGGTGAACTTGATAAATATGCACAGTGCGTGACACAAGTTTAATTTTAATTGTTTTATATGCTCGCTATGTAGTTACATTAAAAAAAAAATCAATGATCAAGCAATCTTGTAGAACCTTAGATAATGTTACGTTGCATTTGTTCTTTTAGCATTCCGAGTTTATTTTAGATAAAATTATTGTATTTGTTTTATATGCATAGACCATATATGTAGAGAGAGGAATAAACTTTTCAAAAGTGGCACATAAATTTATTTAAAGTTAAAATAATGTATACTGTATTTTTTCTTCTATTTTTCTTTTCATGCAATAATGGTTTTTTTCTAATTTAGAAATCAATATATAATAAAGCAATTTAAAATTTAAAGACTGACGTTTCTTAAAGCTTTTAAATACATATTAATATTCTGACATCAAATAAAAATATTTTTTGATTTCAAGCTAAATAATATATTCAGTTATGCAAAGATTTTAACGATCAAAATGTTCTATATAAGCTACAAATTATAATTTTTATTTCTTATACCAAACTTCTTTATTTCTTAATATTGTATAGTATAGTATTTATTATTATATGGTATTTAATATTATATACTTATTATTATATAGTATTTAATATTATATAGTTATTATTATATAGTATGTAATATTATATATTAATTAATATTATAAAGTAAATAAAATTAAAAGTATGTACTTTTTAATATTACATAGTATAGTATTTAATATTATATTATATCATTTAAAATTGTATACATAAAATGTTTTGCTTTCTTTTTTTTTTATTAACGTGACTTCAAACCAAACTGCTGTAATTAAATTAAAAATTATCCATGTGCCACTTAGAAATAATAACCATTTTCTATCCAATCTTAACGTAAAAAATTGATGCTAGCTGTAAAACTTGCTAAATTTTTTTTAAATATGAACCCCATTCCACTTTCATTGTTTGATTAAACGTCAATGCATGATTTTTCAATTGTATATATAATTTTTTGATTTTAAAAATCTTTCATATCATATTTTTAAATATTTTTAATGAATGTAACAATATGATATGTGTGTAGGAAACCGATATTTCAAAGATTGACTATTTCAATATTCTTTATGTTCATTGCATTTAGCTGCGAAGAAATAAAAAAATAGACGCATGTTTTACTCTCAAAATCAATTATCAATCCGCTTCAATCGGTTATTGCTTTGTTAATATCCCATATATTTTAGAAACATTATTAAATCCCTTTGAAATGATGCTAAGCTACACCACTGCTTGTGTTATAAAAATAATAACAAATAAAATGATCAATAACTATATACATGTAAATTAAGTTAAACTCTAAAAAATAAATGTGTATTAAAAAAAATGTAAATTAAAACGTATTATATTTTTTCTATAAATAACCATATATATTTTATACTTACATTTAGAAGTTTAGTACATATATAAGATTAAAAAAAAAATTAATTATTAAGCAACTATTTTGCAATATTTTTATTAATGACTTTTATGTATTTAGCTTTGAGTTTTCAGTTAAAAACTTTATAAATTTTAAAATATTTCAGAAAATTCAATTGTTAATTTAACTTTGCCATGTTTAGCGAAAATTAATTTAATTTTAAATAATATAAAAAAATGCATGCAAAAATTTATCCCCAAATGTTTTGTAAATTTTTAATTAATGCGAATTACAATAATATATCTTTTGATGATTTTTATTTTTAAAATAAAAATAAATCAAGAATATATTTTTTGGTTACAATTTGCTGCTATATATTTTATGATTATAATTTGTATTATTATTTATATATAAATTTTAATTTTGTGAAATAAAAATAAGTAAAATAAAATATAATTGTAAAAATCAACAAAATTTAAATAAATTCAAAAATAAAATATTAATGTTTTCTAATCAATTTTAAGTATAAGTTTATATTGCTTTTTTAATAGCTGTTAATTTCAACAATTGGGTCGATTTGTTTGTTTTTATTATATTTTGATAGAGAAAAAATTGTTAATATTTTGTTATATTGTTTGTTGAAAAAATTATTGATGCTGCATAATTATTTAGGAGTGCTTTTTGCATTGTCTTTTCACAAATAATACGTTACATATCTATGTTATACTATAAAATTTATTATTAATAATAAGAGATATTGATAGATTAGTATAACATAGAAAAAAAATCCAAAGTAACTAAAATACTAACAAAGTATTAATAAAAAAAGGACTACGAAAATTAAAGCATAATAATCATAAAAGAATAGAAATTCTTTTTTAACTTAAAGAATAATAATAAAAGAACAGTGAGAATTATAAAATAATAATAATAATTATAAAAGAATAATAAAAACATTAGTAGAATAATAATGACTGAAGAAAATGAAAATAATAATAAAAATAATAGAAGAATTATAATGATAATAATAACAGAATGATAAAAACAACAATAAAATAATTATGATAATAATAGAAAAGTGATAGTAATTGAACAAAAATAATAGAATAAAAATAATTTATTTATTATATATAAATATTAATAATAACATTATTTATTATGTATTTATTATATATAATTATATAAACAAAAGGAACAATTATAATAATAATAAAACAACAATAATATTGGACAAAAATAATAATAGAGTTAGTAATAGTAGTAAAAATTGCTATAGAATAATAATGATAATAATAGTATAATACTAATAAAAAAATAATTGAATTAAATTAATTCTAGAATAACAATAATATTGGAATAATAATGAAAAATAATGAAATTAAAAGTATTATAATATTAATAATAATAAAATAATAATAATACAAGACTAATAATAATAATAGAATAAGAATAATTATTGAATAATAATATTTGAATAATACTAATAACAGAATTATAATAATAAAATTATGATATAATAATAAAAAAATTAGAACAATAATAACAATATTAATAGAATAAAAATAATTATAGAATAATAACATTTGAATAATGCTAAGAACCGAATTGTAATAATAAAATAACGATAGAATAATAATAAAAATAGAACAATAATATCAATAAAAATTATTTACTGTCTTCATAAAATAATAAAACTAAAATAATTACCATAATTACAGAACAAGAACAAAAAATTTCTATTTAAAATATTATTAGAAGAAAATACATCACAGCGATATAATATTGATAACGGAAATAATATAATTATAATACTGAAAATAAGAGAGTAATAATAATAAGAGAATAATTGTAATAATAGAATAAAAAAATAGAATAGTGAGTTTAATAGAATCATAATGGTAATACAGTAATAATAATGATAAAATAGTAATTACAACAAAATAATTAAATATTATGAATATATAACAATAATAATATAATAACAGCATGAACACTGTGTGTATAACTGCAATGCAATAATAATAATAGAATAATAATTGTGGAAAAATATTGATTAAATACGTAAATAAATAAAGTTTAAAAATAAAAAATTATTCAAATTTTGAAAAAAAAAAAATTACAAGACATTAAAATGAATTGATTTTAATTAAAAATAAAAATAAATAAATCAAAAAATGAGCAAATTTCCTATACAATAATGTGATAATGTATATATCATTATTATATTGTGTTATCTTAGATTTTTGTTTAGTGTGTTATATTTATCTTTTAGTGCATTTTTAAATGTCTATATAAATATTTTATATTATATATTTTATTATCATTCTCTTTTCTATATAATTGGTTACACTATCAACTTTATCAAATGCAACAGAAAACAAACGAGGAGAGGTAAATTCGACAATTGGATGTTTTAGGTATACATTTTGTTGGAGTTTATATATACATAGCATAATTTATATGTATTTAATACAAAGTAAAAATAGTTTATAATTAATATCGGTTGTTAAGCAAAGTATATATAGTTTAATAATATTTTAAAAATTACCAAAAATAATTTATATAATTATATGTAATTAAATTATATAAAATTAATTTGTTATTATAAATAAATTACTTATCTATTTGTGATGTGGAAACATTAAAGTTGAAGTAATTTTATTTATTCATTTTTTTTTGTAATTTTTATATATAATATTAAAAAAAAAACTAATTGTATTATAAGCAACTTCAATTTCGAAATTATATAAAACAAAATGGTATTATTATAATATTATAAATTATTATCAACATGATTGAAATACGTTTTATAGGCTTTCATCAAATAAGGTTTTTTTTTTCTTAATATTATTTTTAAATTAAATTAAACCAGATTTAAAGGTTATAACATGGATCAAATTAAAATTTTTTAAAGCCTTTATGTATAAAATTGACTGACTAATAGACTATCAGAAAAAATTTGTTTTGTATTATATTTTTATTCAACTTATTTTCCCACTGTATTGTCTTTTTCTGCATATATATTTTATAAATTTAATAATGTTAATTAATTACACCAGATATTTACATTCAGTTCTTTAAGTTTAAAAAAAGATTATTTTTTAAAAGTATCTATAACTATGTATGCCATTCCGATTATACTTTTTACATATTTGAATGTATTGTTTTTAGCTTGGTTATTTTATTTTAATTTGTGTTATCTCCTTGTTATATTGTTTGGTATAACAACCCTGTTATGGGTTATGAAAATATATATATCAATTAAACATTTACGCAAAGTATTAAAAATAAATAACTTTTATGGCGTCAACGGAAGATAAAAATATATCTTGGCTTAATATTTTGTAGTTTATTAACATAGATAATAAATTTATATATATATATATAATAAAAAATTTTAAAGTTATATTGAATATTTTATGTGGCAATTAATTTATAACAGAAGCTGCCAGAAAAAACGTGTAAAATAAAATATATTTTTAACATAAAAAAAATAAGAATATAAATCATTTTTAAAAGGAATAATAAAATGAATATCATATTAAAGTATTAAAGGTCGATTTTAAGCTCTATGTATATATTTTATTATTTACTAAATTTATAAACATGCATATCTCACTGTACAAACATTTCATCACTACTATACTTTAATAAGTCGTTACTTCTTATATTCAATTTCTACATAATATATGCATATTTGTATGCGTGATATATTACACATTTACCTATGTATACATTAACAACTTATACACTGCATATTAACCCTGTTTAGGGCATATAAAACAAAATAAACAAAGTTAATGAGAATTATTAAATATTGTACAGTAATTTGATATAAATATAATAACTAATAAATTGATATGTTAAATATTTATATTGCCGGTAATTTTTTGGATTAATTT